GTCAGAGAAAAAGAGGAAGAGCCCCAACAAGATGGATTGGCCAAGTGGCAGCATCGATGGTCTCAAGCATGGCAACAGTAGTGAGGTTGGCCCAGGATCGGGCGGTGTTTCATTGTGCTGTGCCCTGGTTTCTTTATATCTGCTTCACACAGAATAGTTTTCAAAATGAGAAAATGCAAATGAGATCATCTTGCCCCACTGCTGAAAGCCTCCTGATGAATTCCCACCATGTTTAAAGCATTCAAAGACTTTTCCTTCTCTAACAATGCTCTTATTTACTCACTCTGGCTCCAAACCACCTACATATGCATCCCTCTTTCCATGAGATTTCTGTCATATTTAGCTCCTCAGTAATCTGTGAAATCACCTCAGGATTTCTGCCATTTGCTATTCCTTCTGTGATCTCCCAGTGTCTCAGATATCTGATGCTGCTGTAACTGAAATACCACAACCTGAACTTACTCTCTCAGAGTTTAAGAAGCTAAAATTCTAAACTCAGAGCATGGGTTCTAGGACAAGGCTTTCTCTAGTTTGTATCTGGGGAGAGGTCCTCGCTTTCATTCAGCAGCTGTGATGCTTATATGCCATGGAATTGGTCCCAACTCGTAGCAACCCGGCATAGGGTTTCTGAGGCTGTAAATCTTTATGGGAACAGAAAGCCTCATCTTTTCCCCATGGAACTGCTGGTAGTTTTGAACTACTGATTGTTGCTGTTATTCGGTGCCATTGAGTCAGCACTGACTCATAGTGACCCTATGCACAGCAGAACGAAACACTGCCCGATCCCGGGCCAACCTCACAACTGTTGCCACGCTTGAGTCCATCTATGCTGCCACTTGGCCAATCTATCTTATTGGGGGTCTTCCTCTTTTTCTCTGACCCTCCACCTTACCACACATGATATCTTTCTCCAGCGACTGATCCCTCCTGACAATATGTCCATAGTAGGGGTGACAAAATTTGGCCATCCTGGCCTCCAAGGAGCACTCTGGCTGCACTTCTTTCAAAACGGATCTATTGGTTCTTTTGGCAGCCCATGGCACTTTCAATATTCTCCTCCAACACCATAATTCAAAAGCATCAGTTCTTATACGGTCTTCCTTATTCACTGTCCAGCTTTCACATGCACATGAGGTTATTGAAACTACCATGACTTGGGTTAGGCGCACGTTAGTCTTCAAGCTGACATCTTTGCTCTTCAATACTTTAAAAAGGTCTTGTGCAGCAAATTTGCCTAACGCAATATGTCATCTGATTTCTTGACTGCTGCTTCCATGAGTGTTGATAGCTGATCCAAGAAGAATGAAGTCCTTGACAACTTCAATCTTTTCTCCGTTGATAAGAATGTTGTTTATTGGTCCAGTGGTAAGGATTTTTGTTTTCTTAACATTGAGATGTAACCCATACCGAAGGCTGTGCTCTTTGCTTTTCACCAGTAAATGTTTTAAGTCCTCTTCATTTTCAGCAAGCAAGGTTGTATCATCTGCATATCGCAGGTTGTTAATGAGTCTTCCTCCAATCCTGATACTACGTTTTTCTTCATATAACCCAGCTTTTCAGATGATTTACTCAGCATACAGGATGAATAAGTATGGTGAAAGAATACAACCCTGTCGCACACCTTTCTTAATTTTAAAACATTCAGTGGTCCCATGCTCTGTTCAAACAACTGCTTCTTAGTCCATGTACAGATTCCTCATGAGCACAATTCAGTGTTCTAGAATACTCATACTTCGCAATGTTTTCCATAGCTTGTCATGATCCACACAATTGAAAGCCTTTGCGTAGTCAATAAAGCACAGGTAAACATCTTTCTGATATTCCCTGCTTTAAGCCAAGATCCATCGTTCCACGGCTTCTTCTGAATTCGGCTTGAACCTCTGGAAGTTCTCTGTCAATGTATGCTTGCAGCCGTTTCTGTATTTCCTTTAGTAAAACTTTACTTGCATGGGATATCAAAGAGATTGTCCAATGATTTCTGCATTCTGTTGGGTCACCTTTCTGTGGAATGGGCACAAATATGGATCTCCTCCAATCAGTCAGCCAGATAGTTGTCTTCCAAATTTCTTGGCAGAGATGAGTGAGTGCCCTCTATGCCCCCTCACTTTCTTGAAAGATTTCAATTTGTATTCCATCAATTCCTGGTGCCTTGTTCTTTGCCAATTCCTTCAATGCACCTTGGACTTCCTCCTTCAGTATCAGTGACTCTGTGTATTTCTTCCATCTTCTCCTTTTGCTTCCTGCATCATGCAATAATTTGCCCAGATAATCTTTCTATAATGAAAGTCGAGGCTTGAATTTTTTCTTCAGTTCTCCTAACTTGCGAAGTGCTGAGTGTGTTCTTCCTTTTTGGTTTGATGGTTAGTGTTACTGAAAGTAGTTACAAATCTGGTTATCAGCCCGATTTGTATCCACTACCCTACCAGAGCTATGTACAGTATTCCCTGGTGATTTCCATCTTGGCTTAAATCTCTCCCTGGATCTAGGAGCTTCATGATTCAGGGACCCCATGCCCAAAGGCCGCATTCCACCCCCAGCTCTTCTATCTTGGTAATTGTAGGTCCCTGTGAGCGCTGCTCAGATCTCTCTCTTTATTGCATCTGTGCTTATTAACATCAGAGAAGTGAATCTTTTTAAACACATAGAATGATTACATCAGATCACATCCCGGGGTGATTGCATCTTATTAGATCTCAACATGGAGGTGATAATTGCCTCTTAACTGAGAATCCTGACCCAGTCAAGTTGAATAAAACCATAAGTATCACACCCAGGAGTCCTGGGGTGGGGCTGTGGGTTAATGCACCAGACTGCAAAGCCATTTGAACTGCAAGGTCGGTGGTTCAAGCTCACCAGCTGCTGCTCAGAAAACCCTATACGTGGTCGCTATGGGTCAGAATCAACTGGACAGCACTTGATAACAACAACATCACACCCAGGGATTCACATCCTTGTCCTCCTCAGCCCCCCTAGGGAGTTCAGATGCTTATTTCTGAAGGATGGCTTCACAGACCCTCTGATTGCATTCAAATGCAAGCTCTCTCCCTTCCTTTCTTTCTCTCACCCATTGTCTCTCTTCCCCTTCCCCCTTTCCCACACTAATATAAATATGCATCCACACACACTCATACTTGTACACACCCATGTGGTTACAAATATTGAGACACAATCACCTTGTCCTGCTCACATGCCTGCACACTCACACTCACACATGCATTTGTGTACCTAAGTCGCTCTCACTGCTCTCTGCCCCTTGCTAGTTGCAATGGACTCAACTCCAACTTGTGACAGTCTCCTGAAAAACCACACAAATCATCACCCAGCCTGGTGACGTCTTTGCACCCGTTGCCTTACCTTATGTGTCTTCTTCCTGGCAGTGACATCGGTTCTTTCCACTTGTTTATTGATTTTCTTAATGTTCCTCATTATGGGAAGAATTTGTTGTTGTTATGTGCCGTGGAGTCGGTTCTGACTCATAGCGACCCTGTACAGGGTTTCCGAGGCTGTAAATCTTTATGGGATCAGAAAGCCTCGTCTTTCTCCTGCGGAACAGCTGGTAGTTTCTAATTGCTGACCTTGCTGTTTGCAGCCCAATTCGTAACCACTACGCTACCAGAGCTCCTTTGTGGGAAGAATATAGACTGCTTAATTTACTATGAAATCTCCAGGATCTGAACGATGTATGACACACAGTAGGTGCTTGACAAGTACTAGATGGATGGATGGATGGATGAATGGATGGGTAGATAGATAGTAGATGGATGGATGGATGGATGGGTGGGTGGATAAATGGATGAATGGATAAGTGGATAGGTGGATGGATAAGTGGAAGGATAGATGGATAGCTAGATGAATGGATAGATAAAGGAATGGATAGATGGAGAGATAGACAAATGAATAGATAGACAGATGTTGTTGTTAAGTGCCATTGAGTCGGTTCCGACCCATAGCGACTCTGAACAGGGTTTCTGAAGCTGTAAATCTTTGTGGGAGCAGAAAGCCTCATCTTTCTCCTGCGGGGCAGCTGGTAGTTTCGAACGGCTAACCTTGTGGTTCTCAGCTTGATTCCTAATCACTACGCTATGGGTCGGAACCGACTCGACGGCACTTAACAACAACAACAACAATGCTACTAGCGCTCCTTAAATAGACAGATAGATACATAAATATGTCGATAGATAGATAAATAGATACGTAGATAAAGTGAACCTTTCCAGTTAAAATGATACTTGCTGGATGGTAAAAGATGTGAAATAAAAACAGAGTCAAATATAAAGTTAAATAGAGCATGACCTTGCAAGACACGATTTCCTTTTTATCTTAACATTAATATAGAGCTGTATGAGACTTTTCAACAGAGAAGAATTGTTTCTGGGTACTTGGCAGTGTCACAGGAGCCATAGTGGTAGATTACTTAAGTGTCTGATGGTGAACCAAACAAAAGGTGGACAGCTCAAGCCCACCAGCCTCTCTCTACAGGAGGAAGAGGTGGCACCTTCCGTAAAGATTTCAACCTTGGAAACAATATGGGGCAGTTGGACTCTATCCTATAGAGCTGTTATGGATTGGAATTCAACTCTATGGCAATGGGTTTGGCTTTAGAGTTGTCAGAGCCATTGTGGGCCTTGGAAATTGAGTCTTGGGCCAATCTGAAGACATGAGCAGAGGGCTCACTTATTTGAATGTATGAAGACATACATGAGCCTCCATCTTTCCTGACAGGAATGTGCCTGAGCATTATTTTCCTTCTTCACATGTGGCTGGTGACCCTGTCTTCTCACCCTCGACCCCATTCTTGTTTTCATCTTCCTTTGTAGGAAACATTCCTTTGACAAGCAGGCCATGTGGGATCTTCCTCCCATCCGTTCATTTCTTTCATGTTTTCCATCAATAGAAAGTTCAATTTCAAACCCTTTGAGAAATTTATTGGGATTCAATGAAATCTAAAGTCTTACAGCTGCCAAATAAAAGGGAAAATAAAAATAGCTGTCTCCTTCTAGGCGTGTACCAGATGTCTGTGTCAGAAGCTGCTGTCCCCGGGGAGGAAGTAGGAAGAGTGAAGGCTAAAGATCCAGACATTGGAGAAAATGGCTTAGTCACATACAATATTGTGGATGGAGACGGAATGGAATTGTTCGAAATCACAACGGACTATGAGACACAGGAGGGCGTGGTGAAACTGAAAAAGGTGAGTTAGGGTAAGGAGCTGGACTGCCAGTACTGTTGTCTGCTCTACCAAAGGGGTCCTGCAGAGGGACAGAGAGTTGAAGGTCAAAACATGGGACTGTAGGTCCGAGGGGCTTATTTAATTTTGCAGTGGAGCTCCGGGTGGTGACAGAACTTTCCTCCACTCTTACTGTAGAGGGTGATGGCCAGAGGTGCTGACCATGCTGGACTGAGAGTGGTGCTGACTTCTTGCATGTTCTGGCACACATTTCTCATGGCAGGAGGACGGCTAGATCACCATGGATATTTGGAGAAAGAGCTGTGAGCATGGATGAGTTCCCCCTTTGGCTCTACCAAGCAAAACCTGTTCATAGAAGCTACTCAGAACTTTCCCTGTCACAAACACCCAAGCCCCTTCGTTGATGGGAACTCTGTTAAAGAAACTAAACACTGACTTGCTTTTTTCTAAAAGCTGAGCCTGGGAAAACTGCATTCAGAACCACAGGCCACTAGACAGTCACTGAAAAAATGCATTTGGGGTTTAATCCATTACAAAGAAGAGCGTCTGATTAGTTAGTGAGTCCGATGTTTATTGGTGGTTATCAGGAGTGTGAGGGAAGGAGAAAGAGGGAACAGTATAGGAAACACTGAGAATCTATTTGTGGTGATGGAAATTTGGCGAAAGATATTGGCTATGCTTGCAGAAGGTGATTGGTAGAGTTGAGGTCATGAAATTATAATGAAAAATGTTCCGTTGACAACTGTTGTGTTATACAAGGGGGCTTCTCAAAGTTCTTGGAAAAAGTCTAGCTTTCAATTCCATTTTTCTGTGAACTTTTTGAAGTCCTCTCATATCTATATATCTATATTGTTGTTGTTGTTGTTGTTATGTGCCGTGGAGTCGGTTCTAACTCATATCGACCCTGTACAGGGTTTCCGAGGCTATAAATCTTTACGGGAGCAGAAAGCCTCATTTCTCCTGCAGAACAGCTAGTAGTTTCGAACTGCTGACATTTTAGTCCGCAGCCTGATTCGTAACCACTACGTTACCAGAAAGATTTTATACATCTATATATTTCTATATATAGATGTATAAAATCTTTACAACTATTAAAACATTTAACATTTCCTCAATACTAACATTAGACATAGCCTAAGCCTCTTACAGACATCCTCAAATTTATTTTTCTTAATATCATATAAAGTAGATTTTATTATCTCAGTGGGTAATAATACCTTAATTGAGAAATGAGGAGATTGGGGCTCAGACAGATTCGCTTTCCCAGACATTGCCACACAGCTAGCAGTTAGTAGACATGGATTTCAGTACTAGCACATTGAACAACTTCTCTATCAAGACATTTTTGAAACCACTGGAGCAGTAATGGTTTCTGAAGGAACCACAGCCAGAATTCACTGTCAAGTGAAAAAACAATTACGGTATATTAGAAAACGGTTTTTCCCCTGATTCTCCTCTTGAGAAATCAACACCTCTCCATCATCAAAGTGTATGGAGCATTAAATCTGAATTGGATGATGGGATTACCTTGGTTTTAATCAAGCATTCATTTTCAACTTGGTTTTGTAGCTTGAATATTAAACTCCTTGGTGTGATGGGAAAGATTGGACTTTAACACTGATGAAAAGAGTAATTTGAAGAATGAATCAATGAAGAGGCCAGGCGCTGGAGAAGAGACTGAGGGTGGTGTCGGGGGTGGGTAGGAGGTAGGCAGGTTTGGCAAGGACTATTTCTGTGAAGAAAGTGGGGAGAGGGATGTTGTTCTAGGGAGCTGAACTTCCAGATGATTGGGAAGCTCTGTAGAGTTTAGAAGAAATATTGTGAGATGTGGGACAAAGAGAAAGTGAAGGAGGCATGTTTATAAAAGAAGAAAGAAAATGTAGACTATGGTGGTTGCAGTGAACTTTGTAGACTTGGGAAAGTCAACATTAGTGACAGTGAATGAAATGACCAGGATCATGAGTCGCAAGGGACTTGGGTAGTTTATTCCTTCTGGTTTCTTCTCAGGAACTGTGTGTAGCATATAGCTTTCAAAGATTCTCATTAATTAATAAAATCACCATCCCTCCTGCCTGACATTGATATACCAGGGTTGACATCAGCCATTCCTGCCTCCCCTCCTTTGCTGAAAGCAAATTGGGTAGATGGTTATGCTAAGGTTGTTACCTGTTTCCATTGTATTCAGGGCGTAAACACACAGGGTGTCTCTAAAATCCTGAAACATTTAAATCACCCTGTGGAACTCACACAGTTGCAAATGAGCTTCCCCCTTACATGATTAATTTGCACATTTCCCCCTGCAATTCAGTGTGTTTATTCCAGGCGAAGGAACAACCTCCTGTAAAGCACTAACAACTGGGTTTAAAACATGTTGTTTTATTTGTAAAAGTACATTGTCTTAAACTTGGAGCTCAGAGTTCCAGATGTAACCCCCAAATATTGAGAAGGAAAGCTAACAGAGGAAAATGAGGAACCCTCATGAAAGTCATGATGTACAGGTGGATAACTTAGATGGATTGTGGTGGTGATGAGGGTTAAGTGCCGTCAGGTTTGCTCTGACTCATAGCGAGGCTGTATCATGGATCCAAGAGCAGTTGGTGAGTTTGGACCACAACCCTTACGGTTACCAGTCCCGTGTTTATTATCCTATAGTGTCCCACTAGGTATGGGTCTATGTGTATCATGGAAGTGTTGCTTATCTTTTAAAAATACTTTCAATGCAATATTTCCATCGATTTCGTGAATCCTGCTCCTATTTTCCAAGCAAGAGCTATTGAATACTTATTCAGTAACTTCCTGGTGAACAGCTTGTTTATTCTTGAAGTAGCCAGTCATGCTGACATATTTGTTTGGGGTTTCTCCTGATGATCTTTCTTTGAAGATGTATCTTCTGTCACTGTAGCTGTTCCAGGCTGGTCTGCTTGTCCTTTTTAGTGGGAATGTCCCACCTCATAAGGTTCTGGATAGGATTCAGGATTCCACCTAAGGTCCTATACTCTGTCAAGGTTTTTCAAGAGGCCTATTTCACTTGGCAAGTTCTAAAACCCCTTTTAAGAATTCCAGTCAGTTTAGGCTGAACACGGGCTTACACGTTTTCTCTAATCCTGTTTTCCAACATTCCTTTCTATCCCACTCAAGTGTCTATTTTACAGTAGTAGGCAAGGGAAACTAATATTCATAAGACAGTCAAGCATTTTAGTATTATTTCCCCTCTTCAAGCTATACCTAGATCCCAGAGCCCTGTTGTTCCAAGGTTAAGCATGCATCACTATTTACTTCTGTCCCACTAGGCCATGCAAACCTGTCTCACTGAATTGCTAACTGCAAGGCTGGCAGGTCAAACCCACTGCTCCTTGGAAATGCTGAACAAGGTCACTATGAGTAGAAACTCACACAAAGGCACATAACAATAACATTCTATGTCCACGTGCATGTATAGGTGAACACATAGCGTTCCACCAGGTTGCAATCATAAGGTCATCTGAGTTGTTAAAGTAACGTCACCTCATGAACCTCTTACATCATATATGTAATCATTTTTAATGACTACATAACATCCTGTCCTCTGGATGATCTATCATTTCCTTAATAAAATCTCACAATTGGATTTAGTGTCTTGTGTACACATTTCCCACAATTAAATATAACCCTGGATTATATCTAACAAATATCAGTCATTTTTGAATATGACCTGTTTGGGTTTTCTGAGAAAATATTCCTTCAGGGAGAATTTTCAGAGGTGGGATTAGTAAACCAGAGGTGGTATTAAGAGCTTTATGGTTTAGGCGGTGTGTTGCCTCATTTAACTTTATATCAACTACTCATAACGTGGTTATAAGTGTTCTCGTGGGAAACCTCCTCAAATCCTTTTTTTGGAAGATGGTAGGGAATAAATTGGAAGTAAATACTTACATGTTCTCTGTCAGCCCTGCTCCGCACTCAGTCAAGTTCCTGAATCTATGTGCTTACCTGGTGCAGTCTTTCCCTGGTACTTGTTGATATTTTCCATTGTCTTAGAGTTCATCCAACTCACGGCACCCCACATGTGTGCAGGGTAGAATTGTGCTCTAGGGGTTTTTGGTTGTGACCTTTCAGGAGTACATGGCTAGGCTTGCCTCTAGGGACACTTCGGGACGCATTTCCAACTGCCAACCTTTCAGCTAGAAGTCAAGAGCTTAACTGTTTGTGCCAATCAAGGACATTCCTGTTGGTAAGAGAGAGGCAACGAGCAACTACATTCCATGGAGTCCTCTGGAAACTCCCAGCCTAGCAGGGAGTGAGAGTCTGAAGAAGGGCCACTAGGAACCACAGAATTTTATTTGGTCCAGTAGGGAAGGACTTTACAAGGGAGTCACGTTTGAGCTGACCACCAGATGGCTTAGTAGAATCTCATGAAAACCACTTCTGACAGAAAGGATCAGTCAGAGGGAGACATGACTGCACTCACCTTAGCATCAATGATGCGTCCCACTGGGAGTTGGGCTCTGAGAATCTTAGGCACATGCCTAAATGAAGTTCAAAAGGTTCTGCTCTTATGGCATCCACAGACAATCTCAGATTAGAAAGTGTCTCCTTTTCCTCTTACAGGCTACCTGGTCTCAACACTGTGATGCTCTGTAGGCTTTTGATTCTAATAATTGCAGAGATTTTTGAGGAATTGCAGCGATCTCATTCCTCTAGCCTATAAATACCATTCCTTTCTGCTGCCAAGGATAAAGGAGCTGTTGAGTCCCGGAATAATGGAGCAGCTGTGGAGAGAGATTCATGTTGGGAAATGGGATGTTCCAGGTTCTGGGGAGATGGGGGTGAGAAGTGTCAAGGGTCTTGAATCTGTTTAACGTTCCTGAGAGGAGTGCAGTGGCTCTCTAGGCTAAGCGTTGGATTGTAACTGCAAGTTCAGCAATTAGAGCCCTTCAGCCACTTCGTGGGGGAAAGATGAGGCTTTCTGCTCCTGTAAAGTTTTACAACGTCAGAAATCCTAGACAGGATGACTACGAGTCAACACTTAACAACCACAACAGCCTTTCTAAAACTTGAATCATCCTTGGTGTGGAATTCTGTAGAACTAGGTCAGAACTTTTAGGGGCTCTGGTGGTGGCCTTCTGCACCCATAAAGATTGCAACCTGGAAACCTTATCTGGCAGTGTTCCTCATAACAGTTGGAGTTGGAATCAATTTAGTGGTAGTTAATTTATTTTGTTTTGTTTTTGTGTATTTGTTTTTTAATTAGTTCAAGACTGTACTTGGGAGCTTCAAAAAGTCAGTAGAAAAACTCTAAGATCGTTTCGTTGTTCTTCCATGAACGTTTTGAATCCCTCTCATATACTCATTGTTGTTGTCCTTAAGTGCTGTTGAGTCACTTCCGACCCATGGTGATCCTGTGTAGGGTTTCCGAGGTGTGGCTGATGAGCCTTAACCACCAACCTTGTGATTCAAACCAACCCTGTGGTGGAGTGCTTATCCTATAGTGTCACACAACAACTCCCCGTGTGCTCATTAAGAGTCAGTATTTGCTGGGCAAGTTAAAACAGCAGCATGATACTCAGATGCTCAGCTTCACAGATCAAACTCTGTCCAAACATCTAGTCGTTCAGTAGCATCCAGAGTGCAGATTAGAAAGGTGATTTTTAAGTGTCATTGTTGTTTTTAGGTACCATGGAGTCGGTACCAACTCATAGCAACCCTATGCACAACAGAATGAAACACTGCCCGCTCTTGGGCCAACCTCACAGTTGTTGCTACGTTTGAGCTCATTCCTGCTGCCACTGTGCCAGCCCATCTTGTTTGGGGTCTTCCTCTTTTTCTCTGACCCTCCCCTTCACCAAGCATGAAGCTTTTCTTCAGCGTTAAAGCTGGTTTTCCTGTTATGATTTTGCGTTTCACCCTTTGCTGACTAAAGAATGACACCCCCTCACACTCTGAATGAGAGAGTGTGAATCACGAGCTTTTCAATAACTGTAATCATTCAAATACTACTTTTCAAGGCTTTTTGGGTTTTGTATATTTTTGTATCTTTCAAGGCTTTTTGGATTTTGCATAAACCTTGGACTGTTTACTTGTTTTTGTTTAAATGGACCATATGCTGTTTTATGTTTGTTTGCATAATGGTTTTGAGTCGGGCTGCTAACCTCAGGGTCAGCAGTTCAAAACTACTAGCTATTCCATGGGAGAAAGATGAGGCTTTCTACTCCCATAAAGATTTACAGCCTCAGAAACCCTATGCAGGGTCACGATGAGTCGGAACTGACTCCACTTCACACCACCACCACCGCCATGAATTATTTTATGAGAAGGAAGCACTTTTCTCATCAACATTTCACTTGCCACAAATGGACAGTAACCTCCAATGAATGCAATCTAAATAAAATAATCCCATTGTATTCTAAGAAGAGAGCTGTGCTATTTTATTTTTTTTCTCTCAAAGAGGGATTAGTAAATGCAAAAGAGAGATTAAAAATTGACACTGGAGAGAGAAGTTCTCTTTGATGTGTTTAGGATTGTAAGATTTAAAAAAGGAATAATTCTGTTAATCAGTAGGTTAATGTTATTTAACAACCCAACCATCGAAATTACACATAAGCCACCTTACATCATTTTATGAGGCATTGTTCATAGTGTCTCAGACTTTGGGACATGCTCTATAATATCAGAAACTTAGAAAGTGAGGTTGTCTATGATTTAGCCATATTTAGGGGTAAAAAATGCAGCACTTTTGCTCTTTGACTGAAATTCAGTGAGTAGTTTTTTATTGTCAAGATTCCTAGTACTTTATGGAACTTGGTTACAAAAATTGTGTGTTGTAGAATTTGAAGTCTGTCTCTTAGACATCATTTTAATTTGGGCGACCTTCATGTGACTCTACAGAGTGGAGTTCATTCTTGACTCTGTAGCCATCTGTGTCTGCTCTACTCCTAGAATTACCCACTAAACACATGCCAAGTTTCAGCAATTGATTTGTCTGATTTTATGACTAAATGACTCAGGTAACTGGATATTGAATAGACACCAACTTTCTCTCTTGGAAGAACTGTTCACTCGGTCCTTTAAGACAAGCAGATCTTTCTCTTTTATTCTTTCCAATAATTCGCTGAAATAATTCTCCATTCTTCTTTCCAAGAATTGGTTGTCAGTCTTCTTTTCCTTCTTGCCAGCCCGTAGATTTTGAAACCAAAAGAGCCTACAGCTTGAAGATAGAAGCTGCAAATGTGCACATCGACCCGAAGTTCATCAGCAACGGGCCCTTCAAGGACACTGTGACGGTCAAGATTGCAGTTGAGGATGCTGATGAGCCCCCCATGTTCTTGGCCCCAAGTTATATCCACGAAGTGCAAGAAAATGCAGCTGCTGGCACTGTGGTTGGAAGAGTACATGCCAAAGACCCAGATGCTGCCAACAGCCCTATAAGGTACAGACAGATCTATTTTCAGAGACTCGAAGGGAAAGAGTTTGGGGGGAAAGCTCTTCAAGAACCACATCCTTCAGATACAAAAACGGTTTATCCAGGGCTTTGGAAAACAAATGGGGCTGAGGTGTAGAAGACCTGAGTTTCCGTTCACCTCTCTTGTGAACGTGTTGAGTAGGCTTGTTCAAACGACATGGCTTCTCTCTGGAGCAGATTCCCTTAGGAACACTGGGGTCTCTAAATCTTGCCTGGATCTGTTTGACACAGGAACTATGATGAAGAATAAATAATGACTGTGGAAAAATGATAGCAATTATACTGTATGGAATCCCTTTCTAGGTTTCCATTACTCTAAGTACCTTAGACTTTTGATCGAATTTGTCCCCTCAACTTTATTAGATGGGGATTATTTTTCCTTAAATGTAGAGGAACATGTGGGGTGGGGGCAGCAGGGGTGTTGTCAACCAAAGTGACTCACCCCGAGTGATGGGCTGGGAGAGCAAGCTCTGCCCCTCCAACTTCTGCTGAGCCCCTGACAAATTTAGGGTGCTTTATTTTGATGATTACCCAAGGAAATCTGTAAGAACCAGAATGCTGTGTGACTGCTCTGTGTTTCCAGGTGTTGCATGTTTTGTAACTTTGACAAGTGCAGTCTTACCACTTTGCTGTTGCTACTTTTTGTGGGAAATTTTTGGGTTTTCCTGCTCTGACAGGTTTCTGCCTTACCCAGGTGCAGCCTTTTGCCGATTGTACTGTCATTTTTTTGTGTCTTAGTAAAGCCACCTGGGCAAACAGCCCCTGCCCCCGATTTGAGTTCTGTCTGATGAAGCTGACAGTGAGGCTGTGAGAGGAATGAGAGGCTGAGGAGAAGTTCTGAGGCATAGGTCCAAGACACTTAGACGGTGGGAAGCTTCTAGTTACCTGAAACTGCCCTGAAATGAATTCTACCAGTTGCCATTGAGCCAGATTTGACTCAACGTTGACTCCTGGAACCCTTTGTGTTTCAGAGTAGAAGTCTACTCCATAGAGTTTTTAATGGTTGTGACCTTTCAGAAGTGGATTGACTATGAGGCCTTGTCTCTGAGGTGTCATGGAGTAGACTAGACTTGCCAAACCTTCAGTTACCATTGAACAAGTTAACCATGTGTGCCAGATTGTAACACAAATTTCATTTTTCTGTAGCCACTTCTCTAATTCCTTTCTTATCTTTGTTCCAACATTAGCTTCTCTCTCTCATGGTCTCCCTACCTGCAGTCCTCCACCTGCCATTCTACCATGGGTCCAGCAGCCAGAGCGAGCCCTTTAAAATGCAAATTCAGCTAGCACATTAAACCCAAGTTGAAAAACAAAGAGCCTGACACTGTCAGTTTTATGTGGCTCTGCAGAATAATGCACTGAACTGCTCAAGGTCAGTTTGAGCCACAAATTCAACAGTTCAAACCCACAAGCCAGTCCTTGGAAATCCTATACAGGGTCACTATGAGTCACAACTGACTCAATGGCACTTAACAAAAACAAAAATTCCTAATGGTAAGCACAGGGCTGCTAACCTCAAGGCCAGCAGTTCAAAGCCACTTCTAGGAAACCCTATACAAGGTCACTATGAGTAGGAGCTGACTTGACAGTACTTTACAATAACAAAATTACTAATGAGTTGGCATTGTAGGATGCGCACTGGACTGCTAACCTCAAAATGGACAGTTCAAACCCAACAGCAGCTCCTCAGAAAACCCTATACAGGGTTGCTATGAGTCAAAACCAACTTAGCAACAACAGCGATTACAAATGAGGGAGCCCTGGTGGTGCTGTAGGATAAGCACTGGACTATAACCTCAGGGTCAGGAGTTCAAACCCACTAGCCGATCCCCAGGACAGAGATGAGGCTTTCTGCTTGTATGAAGATTCACAGCCTCAGAGACCCTAGGTTGTTGTTGTTGTTATGTGTCGTGGAGCTGGTTCTGACTCACAGTGACCCTGCACAGGGTTTCCGAGGCTGTAAATCTTTATGAGAGCAGAAAGCCTCATCTTTCTCCAGCGGAACACCTGATAGTTTCGAACTGCCGATCTTGAGGTTAGCAGGCCGATTCATAACCACTACGCTACCAGAGACCCTA